CTGAAAAGTAATCGCAGTTCTGTTCGCCATCAGAAGAACTTTTATAGGTATAGATAAGGAGCTATTTGGGAAAGTATGCTACACCTTTGCATGTTCGCAACTAGAATATGAGATGCATCCTTGGAGACCGTGGCCAAATAAACATTATAAAGTGCTCGATAAGGGTTCAAGGAGGGGCAACGAAAATCGTGAAAGGCCCGACTAGCTTATCCCACGAATACAGACTTCATGCATACCTTTCCCCTTGAGTACAGGCAAATCTGAGGAGATCTCTGTTGCAAATGTAGCCAAAGCCTAGATGTATCCGCCTAATTACGCCTTTGTGTGAATCCCCAAGAAAGAACACGACAAGAAGACTGCAAAATCAGAAGTCTTTTAGCGTAATTTGTGCAACATGTTTAAGGTAACAAACGCGTGTAAAGCTATGTCTATCGGGCCAATCAGATACTGTCCTGGCGTGGGTAGCGGCACGATTGGCTTGTGACTCAACGGCTGGATTGTCAAATTCTTAGCCTTGCTGCAGCTTTGAAATTTAATTTATTGATTGATTGATTGCCAGTCTGCGTACGTTGCGTGTAGGCCGATCGATAGCCTATTGTGAGCGCGGCTCGCTGCCTGCCTGCTAGCTGGCTCTTCCTAACAATCTCATACAGACCTACCGGGTTGAGAGGAACCGGAACTGTGCCCTGCACTTTAAGGAGTCCTTCTTACTAGCCACGATATCTTGTGTGCGCGGGAATTCCCTCGAACTCCGAGGAATCTTATTCCACCGTGATGTTCGTCGCTTCGCGTTTTCACAGCGAATCTTTGGTGCCTGTAACGAACTTCTCGAGGACGTTATAAGGGTGGACATGACGGATGCGTTTAAATCTAAACTTAATGAATATTTACGTAAAGGATACTTCTTATGCGGAGAGGAAAGCTGAGTTTCAACATACTGACACTTTGCTGATACCCACAGATAGTGCTGTTAGCTATTACATGATATATTTTATCCCCTTCCTTCAGGATGACTATGTTGCAAATGTAATTTCCCAATGTAAATATGTTGCTGCCTATTCACTAGAAACATGCCTATTTTATCTTGAATGTTTTTGTGACTTTTTTTAATAGGGCCTTCAAAGGCAATGCCTATTACCCTAATGATACTGAACCATACTAAATAGATAATAAAAATTTATTATAGGGCAGCGTATGATCGATACGAATAAGGGTCGAAATGATCGTCTCTGTGGGCAGGAGAATATTCCCGACGAAGACAAGTGAGACTGGAACGGCCATTTCTGGCTTATTGGTCATCATTATCAGCCAGTCATACCCAATCCCAGATGTGGGACACCCGAGATTCGAATCCGGGAGGTTGGTCATGGAGTATAGCACTCGATCATTCGATCACGGGCTCGTTAATTTTGTCAGTCGCGGTTGCGATTGGGAATAAGATGGTTGCTATACGACTGCCTGCAAGGGCTCTCTAGTGATCTCCAGGACACAATGAGACATAAATTTACCCAACAGTCTCTGCCTTGGCTTATTAGTCGTCATCAGCCAGCCATGCTCGATCCCAGGTGTTGCGCCACACGAGGCTCGAACCCGCAACCTGTTGGTTAGAAGTCCAACGGTCTGAACATTGACCCAGGGGCTCGTAGTATTACCGGCTTAGAGTCGAAATTTTCCCCTTTAGGTCGGCAACAGATAATCCTAACTTTAACTGTAAATATCATCTTTACTTTAACTCCACCTCACGCGAAAAATCAACCCTCACCTTAATCCGTTAAGGGAAGTAGCTGAAAAAAATGTTGTAAATGTTCGCTTTGGGAACTCACTCGACTACATAGCATATCCATACTTTCCTTCCATTCACACATGAACACTCCTCCTCCTCCTCCTCCTCCTCCTCCTTAATTTCAGGGTCATGACTGCCAAAAATTTGCCTTCATTGTTGGGGGAAGAAATGAAGCTTTGCATTAACTGCCAAACCCAACAAGCAGCAGAGGTGTGTTTATTTTTATTTTCGTAAAGTCCTAATGTTTGCGGTTGATCTCCATGGCAATTAAATCAAATAAAAAACGACCTCTTTCGCAAACGCAGACAGAAGGGTCGTGACAGGCCGATAAACCGAAGTTGGAAGAGGCCGTCGAATCGAATTTTATTAAACTCACCTGATGTACACACTTCCCTAGAATTTATCAGCCTACCCCGTTCCCACCACAGAACTGTCAATCTGATTGGCCTAAGCACTTGGATGCCGCGCTGAATCCCAATGGGCTGTCGGTGGAGTCTGCCAAAGTGAACTTGCCTGACGATCATCCTGCTACACCGGG